AATTCCCTTCTATACCTAGTTTACTGAGTATTTATCAGGAACGAATATTGGAATTTGTCAAATGCTCCTTCTGTGTCTATTGAAATAATCATATTTTTTTTCTTTTTAGTTGCTAGGATTGGCAATTAAATTGATTTTCAAACCTTAAATCAACCTTATATTCCTAGGATAAACTCAACTGGATTTGATTTGCTCAAATTTTGTTTAGGATTTTGCATCTGTATTCATGACATAACAGTGTGTTATTTTTTTTTTCTTGTAATATCTTTCTCTGGTTTGTTTATCAGTATAATGCTGGCTTCATAGAATCATTTGGGAAGTCTACTTTGTCTTCAATTTTATGTAATAGTTTGTGTAAAATTGGTATTATTAATTCCTTAAATGTTTTGTAGAATTCACTAGTGAAGGTTTTTTTTTTTTTTTTTTGTGGGATGGTTTTTAACTTTAACTCTTATTTATTTAATACATATAAAACTATTGCAGTTATCTATTTTTTCTTTTGTGAGCTTTTTAATTTTGTGTCTTTGACACAATTGTTCATTTCATCTAAGTTGTTGAATTTATTGCCATAGAGTTGTTCATACTATTCCCTTATTATCCTTTTAATATCTGTAGAATCTATAAAGATGTCACCTCTCTTATTTCTGATATTAGTAATTTGTGTCTTCTCAGTTTTTGTCCTGATCAGTCAGGATAGAGATTTACCAATTTTACTGATTTTTTTCAGTTCTGTCAGTTTTCGCTTCAGATATTTTGAATCCTTATTATTAGGTGCATAAATGTTTAGGACTGTTATATACTTTTGATGGACTGACCCTTTTATTGTTAACAAATGACCTTATTTATCCCTGTTTATATTCTTTGCTCTGAAATCTACTGTCTGATATCAATATAGCCACTTCAGCTTTCTTTTGATTAGTATTAGCAAGTTATATATTTCCCATCCTTTTATATTTTATTTATGTGTGCATTCATATTTAAAGTGTGTTTCTTGTAGGCAGCATACATTTGACTCATAATTTTTATCCAGTTAACCATCTATATCATTTAATTAAAGTATTTAGACCATTTACATTTAATGTGATTATTGACTTGGATAGGTTTAAATATATCATCTTGCTATTTGTTTTCTATTTGTCCCATCTGTTCTTTGTTCTCTTTACCCTTTTATCTGCTTTTTCTTAATATTAATTGAATTTTTTATTATTTTCATAAATGGAATTTATATGATATACCATACATTGGAATAAAATTCAGCAAAAAATAATAAAAATTATAAAAAAATATATATTCTTACATATTTTTATTATTCCATTTTATCTGCTTTTTTGGCTTATTAGCAATAAGTCTGTTTTGTTATTGCCATCATTGATTTAGGGTAAGGTTTCTCAACAGCAGCATTATTGACATTTTGGGCTGGGTAATTCTTTGTTGTCGGAGTTCTGCCCTGTGAGTTATAGAATGTTTAGTAGCACCCTAGGATTTGACACTAGATGCCAGTAGCATCCTCCAGTTGTGACAAGGAAAAATGTCTCTAAACATTGCCAAATATACCCTACGAGGCAAAATAGCATCTATATGAGAACCACTGCTTTAAGGTTTATACTATACATCTGTAGCTTATTATAGTTTACCTTCACATAATATACTACTTCATAGTTTGTTGTTAGATGCCATCGAGTCAGTTCTGGAAACTGCCAGAAATTCAAGCCGGATTCATGTATAGTTTAAGAACCTTATAATAGTATACTTCCTTTTCTCTCCTCTCAATCTTTATGTTATTGTTGGCATTCATTTTACTTTTAGTTATGTTATAAACCCCACATTACATTGTTATCATTGTTATTTAAACTGTCAAAACTGGTTACATAGTGGTTAAGTGCTTGGCTGCTAACAGAAAGGTGGGTGGTTTGAACCCACCAGCCATTCCATGGAAGATAGATGTGGCAGGATGCTTCTGTAAAAACTGCAGCCTTGGAAACCCTATGGGCAGTTCTACTCTGTCCTATAGGGCCATTGTGACTTGTAATTGACTCAACAGCAATGGGAACAAGAAATTGTCAATTATCTTTTAAAGTGATATAAATAATGAGGAAAAAATCTTATGTATTTAACCATGTACTTATCATTTCCAGTGCTATTTGCTCCTTTGTGCAGATTCAAATTTCCATCTAGTATCATATTCGTTTTTCCTGAAGGATGTCCTTTAACATTTGCTACAGTGTGGGCCTGCTGAAGATTTATTATTTTAGTTGAGGTATGTCTGAAAAAATCTTTGTCTCACAGTCAACTTTAAAAGGTATTTTAGATGGGTATAAATTCTGGTTGTTGTTGTTAGGTGCTGTCGAGTTGGTTCTGACTCATAGCGACCCTATGTACAACAGAGCAAAATACTGCCTGGTCCTGAGCCATCCACACAATTGTTGTTATGCTTGAGACCATTGTTACAGCCACTGTGTCAATCTATTTCATTGAGGGTCTTCCTGTTTTTTGCTGACCCTCTACTTTACCAAGCATGATGTCCTTCTCCAGGGATTGATCCCTACTGATAACATGTCCAAGGTATGTGAGACATAGTCTCACCAACCTTGCTTCTAAGGAGAATTCTGGCTGTATCTTTTGGCATCATTCTTTTGGCAGTCTTTGGCATATTCAATATTCTTTGCCAACACCATAATTCAAAGGCGTCAATTCTTCTTCAGTCTTCCTTATTCTTTGCCCAGCTTTCACATGCATATAAGGCTATTGAAGACACCATGGTTTGCGTCAACCACATCTTAGTCTTCAAGGTGACATCTTTGCTTTTTAACACTTTAAAGAGGTCTTTTGCAGCAGATTTGCCCAATGCAATGCATCCACATTTCTCAAGCTGAAAGAACTGAAGAAAAAATTGAAGCCTCAAGTTGCAATATTGAAGTATTCCATAGGGAAAATATTAAATGACACAAGAAGCATCAAAAGAAGATGTAAGGAATACACAGAGTCATTATACCAAAAAGAATTGGTGGACATTCAATCATTTCAAGAGGTAGCATATGATCAGGAACCAATGGTACTGAAGGAAGAGGTCCAAGCTGCACTGAAGGAATTGGTGAAAAACAAGCCTCCAGGAATTGACAGAACACCAACTGAGATGTTTCAAAATTCTGGTTGACAGTGTTTTTTTTTAGTACTTTAGAGATGTTGCTCCACTGTCTTTTGGCTTCCATTGTTTCCAGTGAAAAATATGATGCCATCCTTACCTTTGTTTCTCTGTTTATAAGATGCATTTTTTTCCTCTGGCTGCTTTTAATTTTTAACTTTATCACTGTTTTTGAGTAATTTGGTTATGATGTGCCTTTGTGTAATCTTATTTGTGATTCTTATACTTGTGCTTCCTTGAACATCTTTGATCTGTGTGTTCATAATTTTCATCAAATTTGAAAAATTTTCAGCCATTATTTCTTCATATATCTTTTATGCCCCCTTCCAACTCTTTCAGGGACTTAAATGACTTGTGTATCACTCTGCTTGAAGTTGTCCAACTTCTTACTAATGCACTTTTTAAAAAGTTATTTTCTCTTATGCATGTTTTACTTCAGGTAGTTTTTTTCATTTCTTTTGAGACTTCCTCTTTGACCCATGGATTATTTAGAGGTGTGTTGTTTAATCTCCATGTGGCAACAGAAAAGATTTTTTAACCTACAGGGATGAAGAGCGTTTCCTGGGCTGTGTGCTCATTGTAGCTTGATCCCTCTTTCCAGTGCTCCCAGTTGCCTGATTTCTTTACGTGGGAGAAAGAATTCTTGGCCTACAGGGACAAAGAGGCTTCACAGGCCAGGCTGCTTTTTATGATGGTATCTCCCTTGCCATTGCTGTTTGGTTTCAAAGTGTCTGTAGGTGGGGAAGGGGAATTCAGGACCATTAAGGAAGGAGAGCACTTTCCCTGACTGCTTATTGCCGGTGGGCCTCCCAACTGATTTCCTTGGCCAGAATTGGCAAGCATACTTGATGTTGTTGGTGGGACTCCAATTCCATCGATGGGAGGAATTAGCCTGCCCAAGTTGCCTTCTGTTGTTAGATTGGGGATCAGGAGGTGCCAGACCTATATTACCTTCTTCTGTTGAGTGGAGGATTATAAGATCATGTCTCTGTGTTGTTCCTCCAGGCTTGGAATCCCTAACTCGTTGCCTTCTTCTTTCCACCTTTCAGAGTTTTCCTTTGGTGACCTTTTTCATTATTTACAGAGTTAACAGTTGTACTTTGTGGGGAAGACAAAGGAAGGAGGAGTGTATGTTATTTTTTCCAGTCAACTTAGCTTCAGTTTAATTATCCTCAAACCTATCCACCATACCAGTAATTTGAGTTATCTTTCTAGAAGTCTATTCAGGTCTCTTTCATGTTTAAAATGCTTTAATAGTTTCCCATCTATGGAGCAACTACACCACAATCTCCTAGGGTACTTATTAAAATGCAGATTCATGGGCTCTACACAGACAAGCTGATTGAGATTCTTTTAGAAAATGCAATTGTAATGAAGTTCTGTTATTTTAACATTATATAAATCACAACAGCTGTAGCTGAAAGTCAGAAGAACAAAATAAGATGGTCAAAACATTAGTTTCTCTTCATAGTGAAATGCACTAATAAGAAATAGTAAGGTAAATTATTTAATACTGATTGATATTTTTGTATAAATCATGATTCAATTATATAATCAAATTAACTGATGCTAATCAACTGCAAAACAAATTATAATTTATGAATTACCTTCAAATGATTTTTAAAACTGAAAAAAAAAACTTGCTCTAGGATGATATAGTGTGCTGATTGCTATATTTTATTTAAAGTTACCTTTATTTTGTAAATATTATGACATCAAAATATGTCCCTTGAGACAATGCAGTCTTAATAAGGTTCTGTTTCACCAACTTTACAAAATCATAACAGTTTTCGCAATGGCATTCCTACTAACAACATAGGGGAAACCCGTTTTCTGCTTTAAATGAAAGATTACTTACTGCTCTTTTTCTAGAACACCCTGTAATCCAAGGCACAGTAAGGTTTCCTGAAATCTGTGGAAACAACAAATGGAATCTCAGTAAGGTATGCATTGACACTACTTGGAATGCTGATCAACACCAAAGAGTTCATATAAGATGTCAGGATAGATTTGCTGTCAGAGTATATTCCTCATGTAAATATAGTTGACTCTTTATTGAAGCCAACAGTTTTAAAACTGATTTTAATTCCTTTGTAGGAAAATTTTACAAGTGGTACAAGGTTTCCCTGGAAATTCAAGAAAGTTTCTAGGGTATTGTTGGGGCTTGGATGCATGGTTTGGATGTTTATAGACAGTAAAATTATTACTATAAAAATGCAGTGCTCTGTGGAATAAAAGTTGCAAGAACTGTAGAATAGTTACTATAGGTGTCTTTCTAGATAAGGTATCACCAGAAAGCAAGAGAAGATTTCATAATGAAAAGTATATGCTACAAACTTCTTAAACACATTACTTCTATTTACTTTGTAAAAAGCAGCACTAATAGAATTATTTATCCATGTGTATTCTTAATTAAAATTTTAGACATAGAGTGCGTCTGACTGAAACATTTTGTTTCTCCAAATTGTGAACTAGTTAGGAATCTGTTTACTATGCCCGCCATCATTTCTTAGGAAATGGTGAATTATAGATTTTAATAGGCCCCTTGATTTAAAGGAAGATTCATTTGCATAAATGACATATGAGTGAAAAAGGGAGAAAATGTGGCCCTTTCAGCATTATCACCATTATCAAACCTCTTTAGATAAGAATACATCTCCAAAAAGATCTGTTAATTTGAGTCACATCCCAGTATTCAATGTTGGTAGTAAAGTTTTCAAATGTTGTAACCTTAAGTAGACAGTTCTTGCATAGAACACACATATTTGAGTGAATACTTTCTAATAATTTCCCAAATGGAGAGGGGTACTGTGGTAGCTGAGGATATATTTATTTTTCAGTACTCTCTCATCTACCCATCCACTCATACCTAAAATTGAAACAATGCTTCTAGAAAATCCCATTCAATAGTATGATAGTCCCTTTTTAGTAGAAGTAGGTGTTACTCCAGTAGGATTTTGGGGAGTGTCTACAGAGATCAAAGTAGTCCTGAGGTTATATTCCAGCTGCGACTCACGTTAGCCTGGCTTAATCATAATTTTATCTAGGATACACCTAGATTGGAGAGTACTCTAAACTCTCCTCATGAACTCTCTTTCCCTTCCAAACACATACATCATGAGAGACTGACAAGAAGTGAAATCAGCTTCTGTTGGTGGTGGTGGAAAGTGGCACTCCATCAAACATTTACTGCTTTTAATAAATTATATTTAGTGATAACCAATGAATTAATATTATTCCTATTAACAAGAAATAATGATTAAAGGGTGTAAATAGAAAAGTAATATCCTTAATTATTCAAACTTCACAGAAACTATTACTGTCTCTGGAAACTAGATCGCCCACTTTACTTTAAGCTCTAAATATATGTTTGGGTTAGGTTAAAAATCATGTAAACTCCAAATAATATGTTTAAGGATTTGACTTCTATTTCCACTCAAGGTAAAACCACATTGCAGTTAAATGGCAATTAACTGGAATGCTGGGGGATCATGGGAAGGTGTGAATAATTGATCTTTTTTTTTTCTTTTTAATGGCGAATGATAATAAAGAAATTCCTTCTGAAAAAGTCTTCAAAATGTATACTTTTTTGTCCTCCTATCAGTACCTACTTGGTGTATGATATAATAGCCACAAAGTAAACTGATTGTTAGCCTCAAAAAAGGAGATAAATCTGCTAAATATTCACATAATACAATCAAGAAAAAAATTGACAGATATCCAACTGTTTTGTATTACTTATGCACACACTCCCATGCATTAGTGAGGATAATTCTGCCTGTATAGAGCTGCTAGAGTAAACATGCAAAACCAAATGAATAAAAAAAAAAGTCTAGTAAATACTGAAAATTTACATATGAAATAATAACAATAATACTTATGTTAAACATGGTAAGTGAATTTATATAAACATTGGCATTGTAAATTTTAACTATATAAAATGTGGCTTCTTGTTTAAATCAATTGTATTTAACCAAGAAAATGGAAAACTCCTGTAAGCACATTAACATACAAATATTATAAATTCCCCGTGATTTCAAAAGAAATGAAATTTCACTTTTTTGTTTTATAATTCTGTGGCAGCAGTTACGTGATAACTTAAATGCCATATTTAACTATCTTTTAATATTTAGTTCAAATCTATTCTTCAGTTCCTTTAGTTTCTGGTAAAACTCATGAACACCCAGGCAAAATAGCTGAATTTGTAGACTTTTTTGGATCACAGTATGGTATAAATATGTATCCCCAAATTGGGAAGTTTTGCTTTGTGCCACATCAATGGCAAGGTTTCTCACTCACCAGAACTATAATATGCAGTACTTCAGATGAGCAGAGTAACAGACTTCTCATTTAAATGATATTTCACTTCCACACACACTTTCAACAACCTGGTATGGAAAACTGCAAAATGAATCTCTAATGAAGTAAGATTGATTTAACAAATATATGAGAACTTACACATCCAAATGAGTGCTGCATGCAACTTGTCCAAGACAAGGTCATGGAAGCTCCATAGACACATCCAAACTCCCTGAGGGACCTAATTACTGGGCTGAAGGCTGTGAGGACCATGGTCTCAGGGAACATCTAGCTCAACTAGCATAACATAGCTTATAAAGAAAATGTTCTATATTCTACTATGGTGAGTAGCGTCTGGGATCTTAAAAGCTTGTCAGTGGCCGTCTAAGATACTCCCCTGTTCTCACTCTGTCTGGAGCAAGGGAAAATGAAGACAACCAAAGACACAAGGGAAAAATTAGTCCAAAGGACTAATGGACCACAACTACCACAGCCTCCACCAGACTGAGTCCAACACAACTAGATGGTGCCTGGCTACCACCACAGACTGCTTTAACCAGGATCACAATAGAAGGTCCTGGACAGAGCTGGAGAAAAATACAGAACAAAATTCTAACTCACAAAAAAGACCAGACTTACTGGTCTGACAGAGACTGGAGAAACCCTGACAGTATGTCCCCTGGACACCCTTTTAACTCAGTACTAAAGTCACTCCTGAGGTTCATCCTTCAGCCAAAGATTAGACAGGCCAATAAAACAAAATGAAATTTAATGGGCACTTCAGCCCAAGGGCAAGGACGAGAAGACAGGAGGGGACAGGAAAGCTGGTAATGGGGAACCCAAGGTCAAGAAAAGGACAATGATGACATGTTGTGAGGTTGGCAACCAATGTCACAAAACAACTTGTGTATTAATTGTTTAATGAGAAGCTAGTTTACTCTGTATACCTTCATCTAAAGTACAATTTAAAAAAAAAAAAGAAAAAAAAATGAGTACTGTATGTTTCAAAGTAGAAAACTTGGGAAGTTATGAACTCATTACAGTGATGTTGCCTTTGTTGAAAGCATTTGGGAACTTTGGTTTTGAATTGTCAGTTCATGATTCACCCAGAGATGCCGTTTCATTACTTCACATTCCCTTTGTTTTTAACTGAAAATATAATCACCGAGATTGATCATCCATATTATTCATTAAGTGTGGCTCAGAATGAACTCTTACTACTTTCCAAAATCAAGTTTACCCTCAAATGAAGATATGTGACCACTGAAAGCATTTAAAGAATCCCAGAGACTTTTAAAGCAATCTTTTTATAAAAGATTTTCAAAAAATTTGATAAATTGAACAGTATTGAAATAAGTATATATAACTTCCAAGGTAACTTATTTGAATTCTGTTCAAATATTTATCAGTAATCTCTTTTGTACAAGGTGCTGTTTTAGGTGCTACAGGAAATAAAGAGATGGGTAACACATAATTTCCTTGAGGTCTGAGAGGGAGAGATAAGACAGGAACATGAAAGATTTTAATACAAAAATAATCTATGATAAATGTCATAAGAAAGGTGCAATAAATGAAGTACAATAGGGGTTCAAAGATTGCAAAATTACATTCACTTGGGGAGTGATATCTCATCTGTACCTTAACAACTAGGTAAAATTTTGATAGACAAAAATCAAGAAAAGAGTATTTCAGGGAAAAGGAATGGCATGAGAACAGTGGAATAAAAGGAAGGGTAGGGTGTGTTTGGGGAATGGTCAGTTAGACTAGAACTAAAAAGGGAGGCTGAAGTCACTTTATGGAGGGATATGAATGGCAAGGTACCATTATATCTAATTGTGGAGAAAATGGGGAACAAATGAAGATTTTTAAACAGAGAAATTTTACCCTCAGAATTGTATTTTTATACTTTAGAATGATTAACTTGCTTATTTGTGTAGAGTGAACTGAATAAGTAAGGAAATGTTTATAATAGATCGAGCAAGACGTAGTCCACGTTTGGAACTAGCGTAGAGGAAGTAAGAATTGAGAAAAGAAATATAAAACACATTTCTAAAGAAAGATGTTGGACATGAGACAGAGGAGAACTAAACAGTGTCAAGATAACTGGAATAGTTTTTTTTTTTTTTTTTTTTTAATGGCCATGAAAAACTGCCTCTCCAAGTGGTTGGCTTGTTCAAGTTAATGGAGAGTCATAACTTTGAATGTTAATTCAAGGCAGTTCCACTGTCGAAAATCTGTTTCTCTTGGATAAGAGTGGATAACTTAAAGGAGGTAAAGCACTTATTTGGATGTAAACTGGACTCATATGCATTGTTAAGGTTGGAGAATACAATTATAACACTTCACTTATGTAAAATTATACTTTGAATAGACATTGCATATTAAAATATTAATTGTGCATTATATAGACACAATACTGAACATGGTTGTACACTGACAGGTATGCATGTATGCAGCTACTTTATGGATAACCTAAGGGATTTTCAAAGGAATATTTACTCTATCACTTTAAACCTTTTAGACCCTACATGTGACTCTGCTGTAATATTTCTGATAGACTATGATATTCTTAAAGGCAAGGTAAAAACCCAAACAAAACAAACCTGTTGCCAT